GAGATATAGCCTCGTTGAACGACGAACAATTTATCTGTAGCAAAAACCATTAAATTTTTAAAGGTGTTACTAATACGTTTTATTGATAAAATGAAAATAACTACTAGCGACCCAGTGTTGAGAGGCGTGAGGTGCTTGGATGATTCAAATGGTAAGCGCTCTTAGATAATCGGACAGTGATAATATCTAAAAATAGTGGCATTAACTGCAGTAATCAGTCTACACGTTGTTATCTGATTTTATATCGTTGGCGGCTGGATTTCATTTTATGCCCATCCTCATTTTTATTCACCTGTTGTTCGCTCAACTGTGAGTGCGTATTTTTCTTATACTCTCGTTGTTTTACAATGGATACTATGGAATGGTATTATTACGCGTCCTTTCTGCTAGTATTATTCATACTTTTGCGGGTAAGCTGATTCCCATTCAGTTGGTTAACCTCTAAGCAGCTGAAGTTTTATTTGTTGCTCAGACCTATTTGGGACCATTTCGGATTTGGACCTTGTGTCGCAGAGTTCTAGTTCGCGAGGCTGGTGAGTGCTTTTTAAACTCTACACAGAGATAAAATGATTGCATTCCAAAAGCCAATATTGATTCTAAGATTACGAGCTCAAGCCACATAGTTTAAAAAATCATATGAAGCACTTACATGAGGACAAAGCAGTTGATTTAAATTGTTTCAATCTAGTATAAGAATATAATCTTGGTCGACGATTATTTCCGATCTGTACAGTTTTGATCCTTAGTTGATTTCCTCTGTAAAGATTTACAAGTCAAGCCATAGACAAAACTATCAAAATTATATAACAAATATATAACAATACAAATGCACATGGAGTTTTGGTTTTGTGGCATTCTAATTGGAATCGCTGTGGCACTTATTTTGCGGGTGAGCCTCAAGTTCAATTGCACTGGCTTTTCAACTCATATCCCTACCCAAAGGAGTGTTATCTGTTTGTCAGGATTAAGTTGGCTCAATGGAATCTACGCGTCCTGCTGCGCCGTGAAATGATGTTGCACATGGCACTCGAGGGTAAGATTAAGCTCAAACTAAATATGGAAACAGTCCATAATCTCAGATACACCAAACACAGCGAATGCAGTTAAAAGCTCACTTGATAAGATAAGGTATCGTAATTAGTTTGTGAACATTATAAATAATTATTCCGCAAGTGCCTCTAAGTCCACTTACCAATTTCTCGAGTTCAATCATTACTCGCCTCGTACTCCAAACGGTGTGTGCGAAATACCAGAAAGAATGTACCTCAACGAATTGTTCTATGTATTTATATTAGTTCTGTTCGTGATTATTGTAAGTTGCTTTTAACATTTCAAAATTCAAACTGAGTACATTTGAAATATCCATTAGTTGTGCTTTAGTGGTTATCGCAAAAGAAACTTGGAAGAACACAACAATATACTGGAAAACTCGGGTGCGTATGTACTAATCGAACGATGAAATTCCATTCATGTCTTTTCAAAAAACTCCCAATCATATGCAATAACAATGTAACCGATATGATTAGCAATACATATATATATATTTAGTAACGTACTGAATATATATAGCCCAGAATGTGTATACAGGAGATCATTATATACATATATAAATAAACTCGTAAATACAATTTGTTGATAAGACGAAAGGTTTAATTTATCAATATGTGTTCGCTTTGAGTTCTGCACTCGCATTTGTCATTATAAAAAAGTTACTTGGCCGTGTCGAACAAAAAAATAAATTTGCTAAAATGACCGTCGATGTTGGTACTTATATAGTGTATGTGATATTGTTTGCCACTTTGTGCATTATAATTCGTGTAAGTTGGTAAACATTTTGCCGAGTTTTGGTCCTCCCATCACCCTTTGATTGTTGCAGTTGTTTTGCGTGTGTGTGATGCGCAAATCTGTTGTCCCAGATCAGCCCCAGCCCACATCACAATTGCGGCGCGGACGTGGCACACGCCGTGTCCTGCGCACAATACGCGTTGATCCTGACGGTACTGCAGTCGAAACGGTCGCAGGTGAGCAGCATATTCAGAAGAGTTGACCAAACACCAAAACATTCAATAACCCTTTCGGCATTGTTGTGTTTTTTTTATTGCGTATGTGGATTAAAATTATTGTGATATGATATCAATTAATCTGAAGCACTGAAATGTTTTTTTTTGTTGTTATTTTTGTTATTTTTATTTTTTGATTTCTTTCTAATTTGCGTAAGCATAGTGCTCTTAAGAACATATATATATTTGTTGGTTTGTTTTTGTTTAATTCGCGTCAGATTTTATATAAATGTTGCTTCAGTTTTAGCAATCTCAGTTATAAATGGTAATGACGTCAAACGATGAGCGATAAAATCAGTCCACGTTTTGCTTTCAACAATATGTGATTACAGTACAATAAACAAAGCAGTATTAAAAAAGTAAGAATACCTTGAATATCCGCTCGATAGCCGCTAATGACCTGGTTCAATTGAAATTGAAATATACCTGTAGTTTTTGTCTTTCCTTCGAAAACGAATTCACCTATTAACATTATTTAATTTTATTTTACACTTGGAGGCAGTAAATTTTAAAGCAATTGAATTATTTTTCTTAAGCATCTGCTATCTACATTTGGCAATACAAATTGTTTTAATCCCAAAACCCAAATAAAGCAATGAACTCAACTCTATCCAAGAGGAGATTGAAACAGTTTAGTCATAGATAACGAAATAATTAAATTACTTTTCTTAAGCAACTGCCTGTCTATAATTTCCTGACATTGAAATGCCTCAATCCCACAAGCCGCATATATAATTTAGTGGAACATGTGAAAAATGTTTTCCCGGGTTTTGTGGCGTAATTGTTTCAAAGCTGTCCACTTTAATGGCTTGTTTCGGCCAAGCCCGTAATAGATTTATTACTACACTGTGTTTGCCCAGCGAATAATGAGCTCATGTTTTACATAATATTAAATGCATTTACGTTTCCGCACCAGTCTGGATATTTATTTTGTTGGCCATTTTTCTTGTTTTCATTGCTGAGCTGTGAATTGTTTACCATATATACTAAGTGTGAAGCATATTCTTGGACGCTCTTCTGCAATACGATTTACCCACAATGATGCAAATCTTATCTAATCACATGTAAATCGTATGTCTTATCACAAAGCCACGAGAGAGTCCAACTGCCTATAATATAGACTCGTATACAGTTATGACTGAACTGATAAGATGCATCAAAAAGCGGGAAGCAAAAGAATTCAATCAGTTGACTACCGGCTTCTGTGTAGAGTAATGCGATTTTGTCGGCAACAAAAGTATCCGAAATTTAAGCAATAATAATCCATCAATATCTTTCTATTTAAACTCGATATTTCGAAACACAATGAGTGATGTTATATCAATATTTTCGGGTGTTTTTTTATTGTTTCTATCGTGTGCGATTTGTTGCTGTTGTTTGCGCTTTGGCGTCTGGGCCTGCTACGTATTGTGGAAACCAATACGAGAAGGTATTTGTGGTCGCCTCTTAACTGCCAAAGGATTTCATTTTGGTCGATATTTATTTCACAAATATATATATATATAAGGTAATCTAATCGCGGCCTTAAACTTTACCAATTCCAATAGAAATTGCTTTTTGCCACAATCCAAATTGAATTACGGCTTTTTATATACTGCCATTGAACATACATATATAGAATGTTATTGACTGATAAGATTGTCTCTGCATTTGGGTGTAGAACATTTTCAGTGCTGTGTGGCTTTTCAAACCCGACGGATTTCATACGCTTCTTAATTTCTTTGGGTCTAACAAAATGACTTTCTTTATTTTGTTTTTTGTTTTTCTGGTTATTGTACTGCCCATTTTATACGTTTGCTTACAGGTAAAGTCTGTAGTTAAGGCCATAAGTTGTTTTAATCCAGTTTCCCCTTATTATTTGCAAGAGTGTTGTATATCATTTAATATTCAAGTGCAATGCCACTACATCCGGTAATTCAACCAATAATCGGGATATAAGTCGGCGAGCTCGTGCGCAACGATCCCTTGGTATGTACTTAATAAAATAAAAATATGTAGACAATATGTGTGCCTTGAAGTGTCTTTGATAAAGACGTGATTACCTTGCCCATATCAGCGCTGTTGATAAGCTAGATTTAGTCTTTAACTGAACTTGCTGCAAAATGGAAGCCGGAGCACAATATTTTATACTGCTTCTGCTAGTTGGCCTCTTATCCTATATATTTCTGCAGGTAAACCTTTCCGTCATGCTGGTCTCAATCGGTTTTCAAATTTTGGTTTTCTATTTTGTTAGTGTGCGCTTATCTGGATTATCCGGTGCTGTTGTTCAATTCGCAGCAATGGTAACAGATCCCAAAGTGAGTAGCTTATGTGTGTATTAGTGCAAGACAGATCGTTTGGGTAATTAACTATGTTGTGCTTAAAGCTCTGTATATATGTGATTCATGTTCCACATGTGACTTGTAGGTACAGATACACTGATAAAAAAAAACTCTATTCTTACTTCAAGCACAAATGGAATTGAATTTCTACTATATTGTTCTACATTTTTCAAGTACAATTCGCTCATAAGAGTATGGGTATTGAACATATATATTATATTATTTGCAATTAGCTTTTTAATATATTCTGATTTCTTTTTTTTATATAATATTAAAGTTTTGGCTTAAGAAATGCCTCAACATGCTTATATGCTTCTGTTCTAAAAATATACAAATCAGACTTAACTAAATTTACGAACTTTCGGATAAGAAAAAAAAGAGATGAAAAAAATATTATTGTGTGAACTAGATCAAGGGTTTTTGAATATTGAATAAAATTCTCTATATTTTTTTCAATGTATGTATGTTTATGGTACAACGTACGTTCGGCTTATGCGTTTTAGTTTAGTAACAGCGTTTATCTTATCTCTAAAATTGAACAAGCCGCGACAAATACATACATGTATGTATGTATGTATGTTCATATCATTCGTCCTACTCTCTATATACACGAAACTTTGATTAGTGTCCAACGTACGGTTGCCTGTTGCGGGCGCGCTTAAAAAGTATGCGCCGGAATCCAGTTCATATAGTTTCCCATCGAAATCCAAGTGTGCGATGAACTTTGGCAAAGAATTCGGCCTCCATTTGGGCGTTTTTCTGATTGTGATCTTTGTGATCTTCGGATGTCTACCACTGGTTTGCTTCTATGTGCGCATCGAGAATCGAAAGCTGGCAAAAATTTGCCCGCCCAGGTGTCAACGAAGCCGGCAAAGGCAACGGCAATTTAATCGCGATTCAAATCAAAATGGTAACGTGTGCCAAATATAGAGGCGTTGGTTTATCTAATCGCTTTTTTGATTTTTTGAGCCACTCGGCACTCAAGTTGCTTATTATTGTTATTATTCGTCGTTTTTTTTTTTAGTTTATAGCTATATGAATTGAATCGAATTCAGTTTCTTTAAAACGCAAAATGTCTTTGACAACCAATTTGGTGGTGTCGTTGGGCTTCCTGTTTGCCATTCTCGTCGTAACCCAGCTAATATACGTAATTAATACGCATAATTATTCATTTTTATTTGACAGTATATATGAATATCAGTCAATTTTTTTTCAAATTCGTTTTGTTAGCTGGCCATGCGAATGCACCGATCCATGTTATTGAATCGTCAAAGACAACTTCAGCGTCAACGGCTCGGTACACAAATTAAATTGCTTATAATAAATATATATACATATATATTTATCATATATTACTAATGTTGGAATTATGTTGCCTGTGTTGCAGATCGGCAGAACAATGTGGAGCAGGGACGCGATCACAGAAGCTTCAACGATATATTCTTTATTGAGCCAAATAGTCCGGAGGCGGCACGCATACGCGAGCAGCTCGAAAAGGATGACAAGGACTTGCCAAGCTACGACGATGTGATACGCATGTGCAATCTAACCACGCCAACAGCCGCAGCAGCTCCAGCAACGCCAACACCAACTATGGAGTCTACTTCGATTTGCCTTGCTGCATTGCCGGCGCCGCCATATTCCGAGGTAGATCCGCACCTGCATCTTGCTGAAAATAGCCTTGCAGTCAGCTCATTGGAGCAAACCCCGTCCACATCACGAGCGCACACCACATCCACAACGATGGTGTGAAATTATTTGGGCTGAAACTAGTTGGCCGCTTCAGCATATTCCAGTGCCACTCTGGGCCACACAGACCAGGGTTTGTGTGTGCTTCCCATATGGAGAAATGAAAATGTGTGATTTTATAAACTACTATACTTAAGAATGAGAACATAGATTTGATAATTGTACATATTTGTAAATATTTATAAATTTAAGGTGCAATATATAATAAATTTAGGTAAATTAAACTCAATTGCTTGCAAAAAATAAAGAAAAACAAACTCAAAAACTATTTTACTTTTCGTCTCATGAAGCAACAACTTAAATAAAACTCGTTTAATTTACATTTAAAATATACTTTTGACCTTTGTAATTGAGTTCTGGTCTTATTCGCATAAGACTGTAGTTAAAATTAAATAAATTAAGTAACTCAATTCTTTATTTAGTCGCAATTATTTATTTTCGTGCATTTAATTAAATATCGATATAAATTGTGTGTCGATGTCATCCAACGATGTTATAGATATATCGATAACACATCATTTTTGTTATTATTGTTTTGGACCCTTGTCCCTAAGCAACGCAAATGGACTCCACTAAGGTAATAAATAATAAAAGGTTTATTTTGCACACACACTAACACAAATCCACAGATTGAGTTTGCAGTTCAAATACGCAAAAATGACAAATCGGACGTAGATAAGCTGCGAGAAGCTCTGGATGGCTTGGGTCATGTCGAAATCGATGCGATCGAGGGACGCGTGATTGTGCAGACCACATTCCCGTGGTCGCAGGTGCAGGACAAAATCGAATCCTCTGGTCGGCGTGCTGTGCTCTCAGGCTTTGGTGGTGAATCCGCTGTAGCACTTGTCAATACAACAGGCTGTGTCGTTGACCGGACACCTGTGCAGGGTGCAGTGCGATTCACAACAATTACTGCAAAGCAAGCTGGCGTTGTTGTGGATGGCGTCGTAGATGGATTGGCGCCCGGGCTACATGGCTTTCACATACACGAGAGTGGAGATGTATCCGAGGGCTGTGCATCAGTTGGCGAGCACTACAATCCACGTAAATCGCCACACGGTAGCCCAGATGCGGCGGAAAATAAACGACATGCCGGAGATTTGGGAAATATACGTGCGGATGATACGGGCCGCGCAACATTCCGTTTTGTAGACAGCGGCTTGGAGATTTGGGACATCATTGGACGTGCTGTGGTCATAACTGCCAATGCAGACGACCTGGGTTGCGGTGACAATAAACAAAGTCTAATTGATGGCAATTCAGGGGAGAGGTATGTAAAGTTTCGATCCCATCTACGAAGTTCAGTTTAATACTAATGAACTTGCTTTTATTGGCTAGAATTGCGTGCGGCATTATTGCCCGTTCGGCTGGCATATTGCAGAACTTTAAGCGGATTTGTGCCTGTGATGGAGTTACGCTTTGGGATGAACGCAATAAACCGCTGGCGGGCAAGGGACGTTCCCAAAAGCTTTAATTTTTTATTTTATTGTTGAAGAAATTGTAAAAATAGATGTAAAGAATTGCTATAATTATTTACCATCTTTTTGCTTGCTGGCAGCTTTTAAGCACGATAAATGCGCCTTGCAATTGGCTTTATATGACTGGACGAGTTTGCCGCCAGGAGAGATGGCAATCGCGGCATGAATCTAAACAATAGTTATTTAAAATGTATATGTGGAAAATCAAAAAATTGTTTGCTCACCTCAAGATAATCAATTTCCAATTCATAATGAATGGAATCTGCGAGAATATTTAATACTGATTGAAAATGGTCCAGGCTCAGCACAGAGGACATTTTACCGATGTTTTGCTTGTACCACTGGGCATAGTTATCCAAATTCTTTTGAATATTCATCGTTGTCGCCGCAGCAGCGCGAGCTGTGAGCAGAAGATGCAATAGCGAAAATTGACAGCCCAAACTGGCAACGTGCTGTAGACGATTCTTAAGGTATTCTATTGAAGGAAAGTAGATATATCAGCATTGTTAGATATTATGCAGAACTCCAACTATGCTTACTTTTAATAAATGTGCTCGTCTCAGCACTGCAACTACTGGCAATGGACTGCACCAAAATCAGATAGAATTTCCATTGCTTAAAATTCAAAGCCGTAGATAATTTGAATAGATGAGATAAGGCTTCCTGCTGATGACCGCCAAGGAGCTGCAGAAATATATAGTCAAAGTTTATCTGTAGTCTATATATCATATAATTACTTTTCCCGTTATATGCTTGATAAAGATAAATTCATCGACGCCCTCGTTAATCCAAGCGCTAAATGACTTAAAGGCCAGACTAACATCGTTAACCTCATGCAACTCCAATAGTATATTCAAATGCATTTGCAAACACACATTGATTAATACATCATCTGCACAACATAATTAAAGGATTTATCAATAATAGAATGTTTCACTTAGAGCATACAACGTACCAGGTAGAGATTTACACAATGAATCCACATAGTTTAGATTGCTGATCTTTGGATTCTCAGCTAGAGCGCTGAAGAGATGCCGCAAAGCATTTTCGAGAATGATATTCAGTCTCACAGTATTTAATGAATCTGGAGAGAACCATTAAATAATTAATTAATAATTCTTGTTATTTTTAAGATTCCAAATACTCGCCATAAAGAGCTGAAATGAATAGATTGGAGAGAAGCGCATTTTGATTTTCCAGGAACTCAATTAAAATCAATTGCAATTGTTCCTCATTTTCGATGCTGTCAGTTATTAGTTGGTTAGATTATATAAAATATATTTTATATAAAGTATATATATAAAGTATATTTGTTCGGTTACCTGCAAATATATTCTGTGGCTGTCAGAATTCTTAGATCTTGCAACTGCCGCAGCACACGAAAGCTGCCAACATTCAAAGGCAATCGACAAAAGTATTTGGCCAGCAGGAGCTAATCAATGTAATAAAGTTAATTAAATATCAGCTATGCTAAAAGAAATTACACATTTGTTTACCTTTTCCTTGGCGTTTAAGCATTTAAGTAAATCGACAAGATCCCAGGCAGCCTGTATGCCAACTTGTTGAGTGTCGCATTGCTTTTGTAGTAACTTCAAAATAACTCATATTTAGTAATATAAAAGATAAGTTCATACATCAGTTATTTACCCTACAAGTGAAGCTGAAATTGCTGTCGATATTCAGATTCATTAATTTTGTTTACTGCTTCCCGCCAAAAATCATAACAGTCGCAGTGTGTACACACCGTTTAGTTGCAAGCAAAATGTACTAAATAAGCCTCAAATACAAAACAGCTTTGATTTAATTTCAATAAGCACGTTATAGCATAAAGGTCATTTTTATTAGTATCGCATATTTGTATATTTCGCAATATGTCCTTTATCAATTCTCAATTTGTTTTAAGCACTTTAAGCAATAAAGCTGCTTTTAATTTTCATTCACGCGAACCTGCGAAACAAAGCAAAGAGTGCAAGGATTTGACGGGCAAAGCATGAAACGAAGCAAAACATTGGGGACAGAAACGCCGGAAGCTCACGAGGCGCATGCGCTTTGCTTTGAACAAGCTCAATAAAAGCTTTCGACAGGATAATAAAAAGCTTGTGTCCCAAGGCAACTTTCGACAGTCTGTGGCAGAATTTAGCGAGTTGAAAGTACTTTGAAAAGCAAAAAAAAAAGAAAAAACCTCAATTAAAACAGCTGAAAAAAGTGTGAATAACTGAAAGTCAATTGTGTTTATAAAGAGATAAAATCATAATAATTATAAATATAATAAGTGGTCACCCAGACAGACAACGAACACACCCACACACAAATACAAATACAGTTACAGTTGTAGCTGTAACTGAGACACGATTGGTAAGTACACAAAATTGCAGGACAATTGCACTTTGCTTCAAGGTTGTGTCATATGTGTGCTTTTCGATTTTTCCTATCGCTCCAAGACAATAGAAACACAAAACACAAATGTATATATTTTCATATTAATAACTAAATTGATAGCAGCGCGTCCAGAACTCCCATTCATGGCCATTCACTTAATGTTTACTCACTTCGATATCACTTTTCCTAGCGGACAGGACCCATCAATGTCCACCCCACCCACGCATTAAATTATTTGTTTGCTTGCTCTGTCTGCGGTTTCGCCTTACTCTGTTTACTGCGTTGTGTTAATTTCACTTCACAATGCGTGGGTGTGTGCGGGTGTGTGTATTTGCGTGTGTGCGTTTTCTTTACTGTCCTGTCCTGTTGCCGTATGCTTGCTGCTTGCTGCTCGCTGCTCGCTTTCGCTGCTGGATGACGCCATGGCCAGGCTATCAATTGGCCAATACTAATGCGTTTGATCACCATTTGGCATCAGCCTTCTGACACATTGCCTGCGCCAGGACACTTGTTTGTCTATTTGTTTAATGTGGAAGCCGCATGGTGTCAGCAGCGACGCACAAATGAAATTCCACTTTTTCTTAATTATTCTGCCGATGCGCCTTTATTTGCCTTTTGACTTCAAGCACAACGCACACACAAGCGAAATTAAATGCCTGAAATAAATATATATACATATGCATGTATATATTAGATATATATATTTATATACATATTGCAGCCATTTAATTTTGCTTTGGACTGTTAAAATATGCAAAGCCATCAATTTGATTGCATGCAACAGTTGCCGCAGTTTTATTTTTTTTATATTTTTATGGCCAAAGGCATCATTTTGATTTTATGACCTGTACTTATTTCCAAAATTTGAGTGCTGCTTCTTTTTTTATATTGATGCATGTTGCAATTTATTTATTGTCAGAGAGTAAGTTTTTTGTCAAGAGCTTTAGAGCAGTATATTCAACATACTTTTAAGCAGTCATAACAAATGGAAATAAAATATGATAGAGTTATCTTATTTGATTTAAAAGAAGATTATCTGCAAAATTTCCAGATAACTCTGAACGACATTTGAACTAACTAGGTATAATCAGCTAATCAAAAATATGACTTTGCAAACCGTATCCTTAACAAATGCAGCTTTATATGTGAACTATTACAATAGTTCGAATCTCAATATGAAACCAGGAAAAACCAGGAGGTTTTTCATTCTTGAATTAACGAACTTGCCAATAATATATACACTGAACTTGACAGCCATATCTTGAAATGGTCTTTAAAACATAATCTTAAGTTTAAAATCCTTACAATTAAAAAGTTGCTCAACAAAGGGAAATGCACATATGTAAAAAAAAAACCCAAGTTGCTTGGCAGGTCATAGAATATTCTATACAGCATACAAACAACAAAAGTGGAAAGACGAGCAGATGTATGTATGTTTTATTAGGCTGTCAAATGCACCAAATTGAAACTGTGACCCAGTTAAAGGCATTTATAGATTAAACCCGAAAGCAAGAGAAAAAGAGAGAAGTTCAGTCATGCCTCAAGGCAATGTGTGGCAAGTGAAAGTTGTCGCTTGACACACTTGCAACTTGTAAAGTATACAAATTCAGGGCTAAATGCTACCGAAATAGTCAGCGCACTAATTGCTAGCCAACTGGACGTACACATTATTTATAGCTTAATATACCCCGCTCTCCCACCGCCTACCATAAAGTGTGGGCTTATTAATGCGCATCCAGAGATTTCCATTTATGTTGCATTGCTTGTCAGGCTCAAGAATTGATTGCGCTCGTGTGTGTGTGTGTGTGTGTGTGTGGCTTATGCACACATGCAAACACACACACTCAGTCACACACACACACACAGACACAGACAAGCGAAAACAAATTGAAATTCACAATCATTTTTTGTGTGCATGCAATCAGCAAAGTGTTGGGGTAAATAAATATATGTATTCAGAAACGGCTGCACGGTGAGTATTGTGTGCTTGTTATGTCAATACCAATTAGAATTTTATTGCCTGCAAATATGAACAGCTTAAAATATATATATATATATATATTCGGTCATGCCTATAACTCTGTTCACTGTTTGACAGACAGCTTAAAGTATTTTATGCTAGACACTCGCTTAAGCCTTTAGAATTTAAAAGGCAATTTTGGCTCTACACTCAGAGAAAACTTATTTATAATACATTTCTGAATTTTAGTATTAAAGTTTGTAAAATTTGTAGGTAATTGTTTGCGTTTACTCCAAGTAGAATTATTTCTTGAAAGAAGCCTTTACTCTTACGAATTTAGGTTCTACACTCAGAGAAAAAGTATGCAAGCAGTAGGGTTCGACCAAACGCCGTAATAATAATAATAATAATAATAGTAATAATAATAATAATAAATAAATTTATTTTAGTTGGAAATTTGTAAGTAATTGTTTGTATTTTTACGCACGGCAGAACTGTTCTTTAAAATAAAAAATAAGATGAAGTAAATAAATTGTTCTCATTATTGTCCATAAGGCATAAGAGTATTGAATTTCTAGTAGTCTATTCGATTTTAATCTCAGTAATATTTTTTGCAGAGTGTAGTTCAATTCTATAGCTAAGCCGTGGTGTCTATGATTGTGGCAACTGTGGCAACCTGAGGCAAGCAACCAATTTGCAACACACCGCCACGGAAATGAGATTCTACTCGTTTTGTTTTTGTTGTTTTGCCAGGTGCCAGGTGGTGGCAACAAGCATAATAATAACCAGGTCTACTATATAGTAGGCCAGCAGTTCAGAGATGAGCGCTCTAAGCGTTAAGTGGCTTTTGTGTAATCTGCATGACAATGAGGCATATGCTGGGCGATGGCCGTTGGGGTGGTCGGTGGTGGTTGGTATTTTCTTTAAGCTTAAGCTGCATTTCAAAAGCAAAACTGGCGCGCACTTAAAATTTGGCCACAACTTGTCGCGCACTAAAAAAAAACTACACAAACTAAAGCATTGAGTGAGGCTTGCTGGTGTGTGTGGGTAGGTGTGGGTGTCTGTGTGTGTGTTTCTGAGGCAAGGACATGTACGGTGTGTGCTCTGATTTGGTGGCCTAAACGCAAGCAATTAATAAACATACAACACATGTGCACTGTACTTGGAGTACGGGGCGTATGAGCAATGTGGCACGTGCCACATACAATGAGCAACGTGGGGCAGCTGACACGTGCACTGACATGTTTGTTAGTGTATGTGTGTTCTTGTTATTTCGCCTGTCGGTTCACATTAATCATTGCTGCAACAACAACAAAAATAAGCCAATGATAATCGTATTTTGCAGCACAAGAAATCTTATCAGAGTGATTAATTAAATGCATAAGGCCAATTATAATTATTTTTCTCTTCTTTATTTGCAGCTCTTCGTGATTTTTTCCAGCATTGCCGTTTAAAGTTACAGGTAAGATTTTCTTGCAATATTTTTGAAATATTTTAACGTTGAATACATTTGCATGAGCCACAAAACCATAACGTAAAAGCCCAACGCATAATTTTGTAACTTAAACGTGGAAAATATTAAATATTAAAAATATTAATGGTTGTCAAGCTGTGAAATTTTATCAGTTGAATTTTCACCTCTTATGCAGTAAATATTGTGGTAAACTACAGATTGAACTTTTAATCTGACTCTATGTGTCTCTCATTTGTAAACTCTATCTATTTGCTCTCTCTTTCTCTCTGTCTGTCTCTCTCTCTCTCTCTCTCTCTCTGTCTTTTTCTGTCTCTTTCATCACATACTTTGCATCAGTGTTGTTCAAGTAAAAAAAAAAAAAAAAAACGTTGCCATCAAATGCGCATTTAAAACGATCACCCGTTAAAAAATAAGAAAAATAAACAGAGGAGAATTAGGATAACTCTTCATAGTCCTGATAGGATTCCAATAAAAATGGCGCCATTTAAACTCAAGTTTCGCATGGGCAGCTCACGGAGCACGAGTACATCGCAAGAGCATGATCCGGATCCCACTGTGAATGAGGCACTATTGGGCACACAGCAACAGGAATTGGAACAACAACAACAACAACAGCAGCAGCAGCAGCAGCAACAGCAACATCAGCAACAACATCAGGCAGTTGGTGCAAGCAGCTCGACCATTGATTCAGTTGATTGCAACAGTCTCGGCTCAATGAGCGAACGGAAGCTGCTCTTGCCACCAAATTCAAGCAAAACTGCCACCAATACCAACAGTTTGCGTATGGGTAAGAATGGATAAAAACAACAAAAAAATTGCCTCACAACTATTTCAATTTTCATATGCAGACGCTTTATTTGTTTCATATGTGTGCTTGATTGTGCTGTGCATTATTGAAAAAGCCAAATTTTGTATTCAAGCGTCTTTAATTTGCATGTGAATTGTTCTTTAACAAATTGCTTTTTTTTTTAAATCATAGTACATTTGCTCGGCGTACATTCATTATATATTGATGCATAAACATTGGCAAAGAGCTTATGTGAGAAAAACTATTTCTTTTTGCTATTTAAAAATGTTCTTGAATATTTACTAGTTATAAGCATAAACATGCCATAATTCGAAATTGCATTGTGCCTTAAGCTCATACACTTAAAATATCAAAATTTTTAGCTTTTTAATTTAATTTATTTAATTTCTACGGACCATTTTCCAATGATCTACAAAATAAAATAAACATTTCAATATACTTTTAATTTCCTTTTCTTTGTATTTAGAATTTAATTTTAAAAATCGAAAAGGATTTTTTAAGCAATAACAAACTAATACAATAAATTCTAATACGTTTTATTTTTAAATAAAAAACAGTTGAAGACTGAAATTAATGCTCTTTCAACAAACTCAGCTCTGTCAGTTACAATAGCAAGAGCAAAAAATTTCCATTGTGCTCTCTTAGCTGGAGCAATAGCAGAAAGAACGGGAGCAGAGCGAGAATATATCAGCCGAACTGTATAGTTTGTGCTACTACTAAAGGAATCGCATATTTGTTTTGCTCAACGATAGGTGTCTCGAGAACTGCTATCGGATCTGCAATCTTAGTAGCACTTACTAGTGCTAATGTCATTGCAAATAACAGAGCAAACGAGCATTTATTTGAAATTTGTGCTATTGGCTCTGCTATTTCTTTGCAAAAGTTCATAGCAATATCAAAATATTTATATTGTTTCCGTTTAACATTCTTTAGCTTAATAATGCTTCGTTATCAAATGAGATCTTAGATTATATTTATTAATATATATATACACTTTCTTTTACTTAATATCCCATAACTTGAACTTTAACGATGCCCCGTTCGCTTAAGTTAATGCCACTATTTTGCAGGTCACAGTATATAGTATAAACTGTTTTGGTTATATGCGTAGTAAAAACATATATGCATGACAGCTTCTCCCAAAAATAAAGACAAATCACCCAATATGTAAACACACATGTGATAATCTTGCAGGCTATGTCAACCAGAGTCGAGCTCCTTGCATCAGTGAAGTTGCAGCGGATTTCAATAGCAGCAGCAGCAGCAGCAACTTGCCCACCACTCCGCCGCCTACTTATGAGTATGTGCTAGAAGAGGTAAGTGCAGCGCAAGGAGGCGGTGATGCCCACACTCAACGTAAATATTAAAAAAAATATGTGCCCCAGAATTGCCAAAGAGCACACAAAATTGAGATGGCACTAAAAAACCGAAATAGTTTCTACCTCATTAAGAAGTAATCAATTCGGAAAGCATTTAAGGGAGTTCATCCTCTGGTGAGGATTAAAATGTCTCGAAACTGCAAACGACCATCCATAAAAATATCTTGTGCCTTGAAATAGTTTTAATGTTAATGAAATATATTTCAGCAAAAAAGAAATTGTATTTCTTAAATGATTTTAAGAAATGTTTTTCACTTTTTGAAAGGTCAATTTGAACAATTTTACTTTAAAATTTTGAGAAAAATCTACTAATTGAACTGAAATTTGTGCAAATAACGGCGATATTCGTAGTTCTGAGTACATGTTTTGTTGAGTGTATTCGCATTCTGATTTGAATTTACTCACCTACCCCCGCACATAGAACACTCGTCTGTCGCATCAGCAGCAGCGTCAACTGTCATCGGAGAATAGTGCCACGCCCAATCAGAACAGTCGACGCAGCTCGGCGAATAGCTCGCGGCAGAGCGCTGCTCAGTTGAGCGCCGCTTTGGACCAGCTGACCCTAAATGACGACAGCTGCAACAGCAACAGCAACAACAGCAACAATAGCAACAATAGCGACAACGACAGCAACAATAGCATTTGCAACGATCCCGACTGTCAGCAGAACTATAACAACAGCAGCTGTGGCACTCGCAACAATAACAACAACAGTCACAACAATAACAACGAGGGGGAGGAGCTGGAGCACCCACAGCATCCTCAAATTGAGGGCGTCACCGAGCTGGAGCTGGTGCACAGCGACAACGAGGAGAACACGCTGAGCGTCAACGAGTTTCTGCTGGAAACCGAAATGGCAGCGGTGCGTGCCAAACAGAATAATCTGTTTGCCGCCTGCAGCGATGCCAGCGACGGACAGCAGCCATGCACAGATGAGCAGTGCACCCAGTGCAGCGAGCAGGTCAACCACCACATGGGGCTCGAATCTGAGGAGGACACCGAGGAGCCGAGCACCAGCAATGCAGCAGCCCGCCACAATTTCTATGATCCCCTACTAAATCGCTATGGCAACGAGGGTAAGTGGAAATCCGCTTCACTCCTAACGTCATTACATATTCCCCTTTCATACAGCTGGCTGCTCCAATGGCTCTGCTGCGGGCAACAGTAATGCCCAAGCCTGCAATGAGGCATGCTGTGCATCTGGCTCTATATCCGGTTCCGTGGCCTCCAGATCTCGTCGTGGTCGACGGCAGCAACAGCAGCAGGAGCAGAATTGTCTGCTGACGCCCGAGATGATGAGCAACAAGACATCCAAGGAGATCTACAAAGATCTGGCCAAACAGTGGGGCATCACTTGCAAAATGTCCGAAAGCTGCCGCTGCATGGATTGCCAAAGTCATTATTTTGATTGCGATTTCGATGATGTAAGTGGATACTTAAGGGGAAGAAAACATTATAATTTAATCGTTTACAGTATAAACTTTATATTATAGAATGTAGAGAATTTACAGGGTATTCTGTGATTATTTAAAATTTTATTTCTAGTTTTAAATATATTTATAGGAACAAGTTTGGCGGGGTTTGAAATTTAAATTTATATATGAATTTAATAAGAACATATTTAAAAAATATTCAATATTGTTGCTTTTTCAACAACATTAAAGAAATGAAAAATTAATTTAAAATATAGAACATTTTGGGAAGGACTCGAGTCTAAAACCATAATTTTCATACTCTGATACTGAAACTTCAAAAATCGATAGGATCGATAATTAGAAATGTAAGTTGAATTGAAGTTAAATTGAAAGAATCTCTTGCTAAGGTTTGTAAGGAACTCAGTACCTTCACTTCACTTTTAAAGTGAATTACCAAACTTAAAAGGCACATTCATTATTATAGTCGCCCTACAAGAAGGTATCTTTGGTGTCATTTACAATCCACACTGCAATGTTCACTTGTTGTAGTTATAAAATTTAATTCAAATGCTTCTGGTAAAAATCATAATGTATATGTATGATCTTATCTCTAGAGAAATCCTATAAATGCAGTATGTTATTAACAATATTATTATAATCTTACAGAACGAACATCAGAAAACGGATGGAGGATTGGGAGCTGGCACGCCCATGTTTATCAGCGAGGTTATGCATGGATCTGGCTGTCAGATATTGTAAGGGAATTGGAAACTGTTGTTTTTTTTTTTTGCATACGAAATGATTGCTGAAAAATTGTTATTATGTAAATGCAAAATGTTTTTCTAGACAAGCCAAATGAAAAAGCTAACCTAGTCTATAAGCAAAAGATATATACTACGAGTACGTTTGGCATTAAACCCAACGCAATTTGACGTTATTTGCACAAAACTGTTTTGCACAAAATGAAGTAGAAAATTAATATAATGTTGCACTGCGAATTAGGTGGAAATATTCAATTACTCGAGGAAACAGCCTTAGTGGCTTTAAAAATTATGAAACATAAAAAAAGAAGGCGTTCACCTATATTTTTTGGTGTAGAAGGATTGGTGAACTTTTTGAGAAGTTTTATGAATCGGATCTCTTATCTAAGTGCATTTTGTGTTGCAGAATGAGAAACTAAAAAAAAAACCCACCTTGCAAATTTTGAATATCCTAGAATGTGTTCCTTTTTCAGAGCTGAAATATATTCAATACGCAAAAGTTATTTTACAATCAGATATTTGGTTTGATTTTGAGGCATTTTAAACAGTAAGCTAAACAACTTTATATATAACTACAACTAGAAACCCTAATGAAATTTAAAATCCGACCTTTTCAACATTTTCAACAACCAAAATTTTCAAATTATGTGAAATGGCGGCTTTTTTAGAACCGCTTGAATTGTATGGAGAAGAGCAGAGAAGTGTTTGTATGTATTTTTCTAAATTGATGGAGAATTATGGTGTAGCTGGCAAATCGAAATAGATATGCAAAATAGGCAACTGCAAGAGGCATTCCTGTGCCCTAGGAATACGTAGTACGAATCTTACGCATATTACGTACCCCTAAAACAATTATCATTACCACAAAAAATAAAAAATAAAAAAAAAATCTTCTTAACCATACTTTAAGCAATCAGACAATGAGTACAGCTGGCATTTTTGTGCTGCGAAACTAAAAAAGTGTAAAAATCGAATAAAACGAAAAGAGAAATGAGATAAGAGATAAAAGAAAAAAAAAATGGAATTCTAGACAGAAAACAAAGTTAACTTTAATTACACATATGCTGACAATTTTAAAACGAAGCGTAAATATTTAGTCTGATATTTTGTATGGTCTCGGTATTTTTCAATGGATTTTTTTATATTACGCTATATACACAGATACATGCATATATCTATATGATTTTGTTAATAACAGCATTTAGAATCCTAATCCTAAGCACAACATTCTGAACAACATTGCCACATTAACTACTTACGTTCCAATACTATCTAAGCAAGCGGGTTTCATTCGCAAACGAGGCAAATAAAAACTCAGAATTAAACTCAGAACTAAGACAACAACAAAATTGTACTTGCATTACTCGCGCAGTCTTATATATATATATATATATATATATATATGATTGGAAACCGAAATAACTCAAAAAGTATTTGTTTACACTCGTAAATGTAAAAACCGACTAAGTCTGTTAGCCGTTAGTTGATATTAATTAAAAATATTTTGCTTATGTATCAATCGAACTAGACGAAATTAATTATTCAAAAATATATTATAAAAAATTATACATGAATTATTTTCCGGATAAAACAAATTTTCTGCTTGGTCGAACAATAAAATCACCAATGAGATCCTATTTGAGAAAATCTAAAATTATAAATTATTAATTTCTCATGGATCAAAAAACAGTAGGTAATGACTTTTTTATGAAAATAATTATAGCTGGGCCATAAAATTGCAGAGTCTTAAAGGACAACTGGACATTCAAGGTGAATCGATGATCCAAAAACGCAAGATCCGCGATAGTTCCCAATCTACGAGGACAATTTGCATTGGTCTGGCTGGGTAAAGGAAGTTGACGTTTTTCAAATACAAATATTTTTTCGCCCTTTTCTTGTTTGTATGCTGAGGCACAAACAAACAGATCTGGAAAGTTAATATATATAATATAGCAAATCATCAACTGGTTTTTTGCAGAAAAGGAATCTGGATTCGTTTTGTGAAATAAGAAAAAGTAATAAAATTCCAATTATAATTACAATTTATAATAATACAATTTTACAATTCGAATACTCAGGAACATTTTTGTAAATTAAAATTTCTTTGATGTTGGTCCAATTCGCCATGATCCTGTTAACAAGACGAAATGATTTCAACTGTAAAATGAGATAATAACACGCTTACCATGGGAAATATGGCTCCCGAGTTGCCACAAAGATGCCTAAACTTTTTGCTTTTGGAGGGGGCTCTCCAAATGCAACACTGACTTGCCGGATCGCCCGTCTTATATACAAACGATTTCTCCATATTCACGAAGTCGTAGTGGCAGGTCAAAAAGAAGCAATAGCTGTACTTAAAAATATAATTAAATCAGGAGCTCTTTCAACCTTTAAGATATACGCAAAAGATGTGGAACAGAAATCGAGTTTATTGATCATCACTCATAAAAAATACACTCCATTTTTTAAATCGCTATATTTCTAACGACCAGGACCACTAGCCTATTATTCAGAAGATATTTTCTTAAACGGAAGGTTGTGTTTTGTGTACAGTTTTATAAATTTGGAACAATATTTCTAGCGACTTGATTTTTTGATACTTTTTTATTCAACATTAGTTTTATTTGTTAAGGCTTTGAAATAAATATAATTTACTTTTAATCTCATTTCTCTTTTCTGAATTTCAGAAAGGTTTTTTTTTAAATAAGGGTTTGCATATTTACTTTTTAGAAATATTTTCTATTTAAAAAGATAAAAATAAGAAATCAATTTCTTATTAAAAATCAACATTTTCAGGGCGATTTTCTAAAATCTAGACTGATTTTTTGTCGGGTGTAAAGAAAGAAGCGAAAGTTTTCGACAAAATGTAATAAATGGTCCTACAAGAGCTAATATTTCCAACTATAAATTATTAAACAAGATAGTCTCTAAAATGAGGCAGGCAGACATGTTTCAAAAAACACTGATGATAGATACAGGGTATAAAAGGAATTGTGATTATAGTTGTATAGATTTCAAACATACCCTTCGCGGGCTTCTTGCTCGCATCCAGAAGCTACAACAAAGGCGCAGCCCACTCTTGAGACTCGATCGTTGACAAGTAGCGTAAAATGGGCAACCACATGGTGCCTAGAAAAAACCAGAGATTCATTAAACACTAACCTAATTTAAGCATAAATATTTGATGTTGGTTATTTGTTAGATTTTTTTTTATAAATATTTATATTTAATCTGCTAAGATCTGGTGAGACGATAATATGCGTAAATTCAGATTCATAAAAACCTACTTGGAGGAGTCAAACTCGTTGACCAGGTTGTCGGGGTCCTCAGCAACACGATATTCCTCGAACATGGGCACCAGCGTCAAGTCCAGCAGCTCTTTAATGGTACGCCTTGTTGAACTTGCAAAGACCAGACCCAAAGCCTCACCGGCATTTGGAAAACGCACGACGGAGCGGCACATGGTATGCTTGAAGGATACTGTGGAGGCGTGTATGCGCGCCATGTGCGCCAGTTCCTCGTCCCAGATGAGTTCACGCATCCGAGAGGCGGCTGGAAAGGTCTCGTTGCTATTGGTGGTCAAACCACCGCCAGCCAGCATATGCCGAAAATCATTATGATAGTCTAGGATGAGTGTACGCAATGTCAACGTATCTGGAATGGTGGCCACATATTTGGCCTTGTTGAGCAATGGACGCTGAAGACGCTGGAGTTGTGGGTTTCATGGAAAACTCGGCAGTTGAAGGAACTCACCAGCTCGGTATCCATGTGGCATATAAAGTGCCTCATGTTTCTCGTATCGCAAATATGGGTCGCATTGTGGCAATAGTTGTAGGCGTTGGCAACCAACAGTTGCAGCAAGTGCAACAGCAACAAGCTCAACAGCTTCATTAAAAACTTTAAAAATTTCTATAAAAAATGCTCAAATATAATCTACAAGATGTTTAAACTTTTGAAACACAACTCACAGACGTGTTTTTATATATTTTTTTCAATTTTATTTTTCAAAAATTCAAATTGTTTTGTTTTTATTTATTTTTTTTTTAGGTTTTTTTTTGTATTTATTGCTGGGATTTTTAGGAAGAGATTTTGCCTATAAATTCATTTATATTTGTTGTGTTTAGTTTTTGTTAGTATGTAATATAATTTGTATGTAATTTGTTTTTAACATTTTAGTTAGTATTTTAGCAAAGTTGAAAATCGAATTTTTAACTGTTGATTGTTTTCGTTTTTGTGTTTTGTTTTTTAATTTTAATTTTTTTACTTGCATGGTTTTTAAAATTTGCTAATTTCAACTGATACAATTTGAACTACATAAGGGGAGCAATAAATGAACAACAAGTTAAATAAATCGCTGACATTAGCTACTTAGGACACCGACTAAACAAAAGGTACATTTTTTTCTTTTCAAGTTTTGTGTTTGCTTTTCTTTTTGCGTAAGTGTTTATATAAAAAAATATGATTTATTCATTTTGCTTAGGGCTTTATTCAACTTTTTTTTCTTAGCAACAATTAACAAACAAATTAAGTGTGTTTTGCTTCTTTTGTTATATTTTATAGCGTTGGGTGTGTTGGTGTGGTGGCATGGTGGGCATTAAAACAAAAGATTATGTGGCAAAAGCTATGTACATATATATATATATATATACATATATGTACGCTTGTTTAGTTGCTGTCTCTCACTCTTATTGCATAATATTAATATTGTATTCGGGAGCTGCTAATAAAATATAAGTGAAAAGTGTTTCAGTTCTACTTTTGTATTTCGTCCTTTACCTTTTTGTTGTTTTTCTTGTAAGGTTTCCATTGGTTTAGCTCGATCTTTGCGTTTAAGTTGAATCGAATATATACAATATATATATATATATATATATATATGTATATATATTCATATATTCATATATTGTATGTAGTAAAGGTATTTATGAAAAGTTACGTCAAGTATACAATAAATATATATATGTATGTATATATATATACACATAATAAATATACTTTGCTTTTCCAATATATATGTATATCAGTATATTATAAATGTAACTTGGCATATAGCCACAAAATGTACAAAGTTGTCTAAAGTATTCCACATGCACTCAATTCACAGACACACACACACACACACAAATATACAGTTACTACTTGGCATTCAAACACACTCACACACTCACACACACACAGACACATACGGCTCAAACCGAGTTGTAGGCACATCATTTGCAACAAAACGCGACGCCCACAACAAATGGAAACAAATCTACAATCTAATTAAAGCATGTGTACACAAGTCTAATCGAAACTTAAAACATAATTCATAATATTATAATGTTACTTATATATGATGTATGTGTATTGTGTGTAATTATGTACAAATTTCATTATACATTTTTGTTTTTGTTTTGCTTTTAGGGAACGGGTTGGGGGCGGGGAGGGGGTGGGAGGTTTGTGATTGAAATCGTAGATGCTATAAGACTAGAGAACTTTCTATAAACATGCACACAGTTGTAATGACAATTTTTCGTATAAAAAATATATATGTTCTATATATAGACAGATGTATAAATCCAAACTCTATACTGTGTTTATATCACTTGCGTGGTGTGTAGAGAACAGTTATATATATAAATATATATATATTCATACAGTAATCGCTCGAGCATGTTTTCAATTTACAATTTCACGATTTATATAGATTTAACTTATATTGCTTTCAACAGCAGATATTTTAACATAAAATGGATCCAAAATCAAAATTGTAGACTCAAGAATATATATTGTTGTATTTAATATTAGCAAGTTTCACTTTGCGAGCGACTACTGTACTTGCTTATATGGGGTATATGTGCACATTTTGGTGTTGCCTTCTAGACACAAGTGGAGGATGCATGCGATACATTCGCAGCCGCCTCCAGATTAAAGTCCTTGCTGCGACAGCACATTTCGCAGATGCGCTTCGTATCCGGATTGAGGAAAGTGCAGAAGCGACAGCTCCACTCATTCGGACTGGTCACAATTAGCTGCGTCGACACTGGCGGCGGCTGTTTGGCGACAGCGCCCGTTGCGCTGCTCCGACTGTTCCGAGCACCGCTGCCCGATGGCCTATTGTCAATGGTGGCCGTTTTTAGGGCCGACTTCACCTTTCGCACACTCGGACTGCTGCTGGTGTTTGGCGCTGGCGCCGGCACCACTGCTGGCAACACACGCGGCTCACGTTTCTTCTCCAGCGTGCGCGACTTTTCCACAGTGGCTGGCTGTGTCTCGGGCCGTCGCTTATCGACTGGAGCGCTAGCGCCGCCGCCACCGCCATTGCCAAGTGTCAGTGAATCCAGATCCAAGCTCTGCACTAGCAAATCCTCACGATCGCCTAGATCCTTGGAGTAGCCAGAGCGTTCCAGATTCTTGAACACATAGTTCCAGGACTCGAAACTGCCAACGCCCTCCTGCACCTTGGGCATCAGCGGCGGCGATGCACTGCTTAAGGCAACAAAATCATCCAGACTCGCCGATTCATAACTAGTGCCATCCGAGATGTTCATATCACTAGTCCCCCGCAAATGCTGCTGGCGACCATCGGCAGCGCCTGCCGTAAGACTTATGCGCTCTCTCAATTCCTTGTGCGTCGTCTTCCGATTATTGTCAAGGGGTTCCTGCTGTACAGCAAAATGCAGTTAGTAATTAAATGCTGAAGATCAATTCACACACTCACCATAATGGGCTCCCGTTGATTGTCGCCAGCTTCGAGCTGGGCGCGTATGCGACTGCTTTTGGGCACTGGACGCGCATAGACATACATGTCCTGTGGCTGTGGCTGCGGCAGCGTCGTTGGCAAATTGGCCATGGCCAGATCGTAGCTGGCAACCGGATAGTGCATTCCCATGCCCCCCATCACATCACGTGGCTGTGCGTACAGATTGCCATGCTTGGCTGTCTGGGTGCGCATTCCCTGCTGTTGCTGCTGCTGCGGCTGCCGGACACGTTGCTCGTAGAGACGCGGATCGTTGTAGTCATGCTGCATGAGCTGGGCACGCTCATCAAAGTCAATTAGATGATGATCCGGTGGCGGATAGGTGCTCTGTCTATGCTGCATGCTTGCCTGGTGACGAGCAACTGCACCCAACTGGCCGCCATGATAGCCACAGCTATGTGGCACCACTGCAGACGATTGCTGCTGCTGCTGTTTGCCAATGCTCGCATACATATTTGCATTGTTGGTAAGGTCGAGCGGTGTGGCATAGGGCGTGGCATTCAGCTGACTGGAGATGTTGTAGGGCAGCGGATATCGATTCCCGGGCGCATTATAAGCACCAGCAACAGCCGCATAAGACGCACTGCTGCCCATGCTCAGGCCGTCCAAGCAATCGTAGGGCGTCTCATACAAATGGCCATGCTGATGCAGTGCCGCACAATCCTTGGGATGCTGATCAAACGAATGGCGTTGCGGCAGACCCGCATGCACCGGCTCCTGATAATGCTCTAGGCTGCGCGAGTGCGTCATCAGTGCCGATTGGTGTTGTTGTTGTTGTTGTTGCTGCTGCTGCTGCTGTTGATACATGCAGTTGAGATTCGTGGGCGGGGCGTGATGATTGACGGCGGCGGGATGCATTGCACAGCTATTCGCATTGCCATTTCCATGTCCATGGAGAGCACAGGCAGCGGTTAACGGCGGCAGAGTAGGCTTTTCTACAGTGCAACCATCGCAGCGATTGGATGCCACATTGCTGTAGGTGTTCTCCGTGTTGAGTTGCTGCTGCTGTTGATGCAGTTGCTGTTGTTGCTCCTTGCGCAGCCGCTTCTCGTGCAGTCGACAGGCCAGCTCCTTGATGGACTGCGTTGTGCCGCCCACGTGTCGTTCCCGAAAATGGAATATATCCTGCCAGCTGCAGTTGAAGCCCGCCGCACTCAAGCCCGCATAGATGTGCTTCATTATTTGGCATTCCACATAGGCGGCCATTGCATCACGGGACACATTCGTCACCTGATCAGGACAGATGGGTCCCTCCAGCACAAACGTATCCTCGGCAATGCGACGATAGCCCATGGCCAGGAACAGTCGATCGGCATCAATCAAATTCGATTCAACCTCATGCTGATATGAGCCGGAGTAAGTCTATACAGGGAAAGAGCGAGAGCATTAGATTAAACAAGATATAACAGTTGAATGACTTAAAGCAGTATGCTTTTTATGATAAAGCCCGAAGCTTGCTAACCGTCCAAAGTTGATAACTTTAACGAGTATAATTCAGCTTTCTAATTTAGAATTTTAGCAACGTTATCTTGAAGGGTTATAAAGTAATTCGTATAAAATTATAATTTTAAGCCACATGCTGCTATGGCAACTATTTTATATAATAATCTGAAATAGATTAACTGAATCAGCGGCATTTTGATAAGACAGAGATTAGGAAAATAAGCTGAGGGAAAACAGAGAAAGCAAATTTCCAGTAGAACTGACTAAATTATATAAATAGTTATCAAACAAACAGACGAATATGGATTGTTAATAGTGACACACAATATGTCAACCTATAGCATTTGAAATTGCGTTACACATTTCGCGACAAAAGTGTGTATAAATTTCTAATGGACTTCTACTTTTTATATATTATATGGAAGACATTTACTTTGAGCACACGGAATTCCTTGCGCCAGGGCTTGGTGAACAGATTGTTGGCATACTGGCTGATGGCCTCGAAGCCAACGATTGCATTCTGTGCAGTAAACTCGTTTAGCTCACAGACGGTCCTGCGCAACACATGCCCCGTTTCCGGCAGAAAGAACTTGCGATCATGCGGCACAACGCACAGGAACTCCTTCAAGCAGCCTGGTCGAAAGAAGAAACGAGAAATTTTAGGTGGATTTAGTCATATGATCAAAGTTAAATGCATTTACCCTCAAGTTTTTTGCGCTCCTCGATCTTTTCGATGCTCTCCTCGGTCTCAAGAAACGTCCAGTGGCGTCGCAGTATCTCCTCCCAGAGATCTGGTAGTATATCGCAGGGTACAAAATCGGACATGGTGGCGTGGCGTGACATGCAGCAACGCCAAGGACACTCATTCAATGCAACGGCCGCTCCTGCAAGGCAACACAACAAATAGATAGACAAATGAGTACAGCAATAACAACAACAACAACAACAACAAGAGCAAGAACAACAATCGAAATATTCAAGTATTCAAGGCTGTGTGCATCTTTGAAAAACAGACTATTATTGATTTTTAAGCGAAATGCTCTTAACGATTACATACATAGATGCATACAGGCAGCATACATATAACATTTTGAAGGCAGAGCAATTCAGGCACCGCATTCAAGTGGGCCAGTTCTAAATGCAGAGTCTGCCCAAATGGCTGTCTTTGCCGACTTTGGCATATGAATCACGCTGAAACGCAGAGCAAACGCCATCCGGTATGACGCACGCTCGAGATATCGGCCCTCAACACACAAACAATGAATGTGTACAAAGCGTACAGTGGTCGCCCGATAATTACAATTCCATGGAATATCTTACCCAAAAAAAAAAAACAAAAACTTTTGAATATAAATTGAAATTGTTCTTTGAATTTACATATGAGGAAGCATAAGTTTATGCATTGTGCATATTACTGAGTAACTACTGTGCTCTATATATGTATGTATTTATTTAAATGTACGCTTGTATAACTGTGTCTACGTTGCTGATAGAGTAAACAATGGCAACATGTTTGCTAGTTGTTGCCTTTGCCTTTGCCTTTAGCTATGGCAGCCACATCGATAATGACTGTTAGTTAATACTTATCAGAGTAGACCCCTCCAACCCACCAAAGCAACCACCCACCCACCGGACACACCGCATGGACATCAGCTGAGGACCGGCATGTGCAATCTACGATTAGATTCGCTTTCCGAAAGCTACAACTTCAACAACAACAAGAACAGCTCGGTAAATCAATAAAACGTATGCTTAATTGTTATACATATATACTTAATTTTTATATGAAGCTATGAAGCTGCACTCCGAAAGATGAGTGTATCAATAAATAATTGACTGGGTGCTAAGAGAAAACGAGTAAAACAGCTGAGGAAAGTGTAATATATTTACACATATTATGAAATATAAGTGAGGCGTAGGCGGGGGAAAAAGATTATAAGTCGATATGCATTTTGAATAAGTGCAAAAAATAAAGATGATTTTTTTGCTTATCAATTTGACAATTAATTTTTTTTTTTAACTTAGACTGACGCAAAAATCAAATTTTAAATATTAGTTTATTTCAAATAAAGAGGTAAACAATCGTTTTCTACTTGGAAATGCATGCGATCATTGTTCGTTTCTTCACATTGCTCTTTGTGCTTCCCCTATAATTGTGTGCTTTTTAACACTACAGATGTGTAGATAGGTTGCTTATCGGCTTATCGATTTAAGTCGTTATTCACCCAATCAATTTTTTTCAGTGTATTTAACATACGCATTGTAAAAGCTGATAAAGTTTGTTGAGATTTGCACAGCTGCTCGAAAGGTTGTCAACTGGTTTTTAAAACAATATTAGTCACTTGATGAAACATTTTTTGCACCAGCGATCTGAGAATATTTTACATGCAAACCATGTCGGTCATTTGTCTGTCTGGCTCATAAAACTGGTAACAAACAGTTACAAATTCAATTTCGAAGCGAATGCAATGCTAACGGTGATAAGGTGTGAGAGTGGTGGGTGGTGAGCGGTGGTTGATGAGTAAGTTTATAAACCTTGCGGAAATCATATTAGCCTTGGCAGCCCGTATTGCTGCAAGAGGTTTTCACGATTTTCATGACAAAAGCCAACGACGTGAAGTAAAACCGCGAAGCTGAACAATATGTGATTGACAGCTGAAATGCATTTCTCAAAGTTTGCTCTACATTTAATAAGTAGTTGGAAAAACAATTGCAATTTTTAATTTGCATTTTTTATGAGGCCAGCCAGGCAAAGTTCATTCGAAGCGAAAGTGGAGAGGGGTGGAGAGGTAGGGGGAAAGGGAAAAGGGGTTGCAACGCTTGCAACATGAAACGTGAGATGGGTAACAAAAAGAAGAAGCAAAATCAACAAACAACACTAAAAGCTGTAGAAAGTGACCGGTTTAAAAGCTGCCCGGGTAACGGCGAGTGGGACAAGGAGAGAAAACAAAGGTGTAAAAAGCGCAAAACATACAAAAAAAAAAAAAAACAAAGACAGCTGCAGTAAAGAAGAAAACAAAAGCCTTTGAAGTTTAGCAGTGCACAAGACCCAAGCGAATGCCGCTCGGAACAACAATAACAAAGAGAGCAAGTCTAACTATTGCACTGGTGCTGAACAGCACAGCAAAATAAAAATCAATAACAACTCTATCAAGTGCAAGACGAGCATAATATCAAAACCAAGTAAATACAAAACATAACGGGCTTGATCAGCAAAACCGCTAGAAAGTCACGAGCTGCATTCTCTCTGATTCTCTCTCACTCTGAAGCCATAAGTCGAGCTTTTTTCATGTGCGTAAATAAAGAAAATACATGTCATACACTTATTAGCGTGGGAGTGAGAGGCAAAGCAAAGTAACACAAGCTTTAGTTGTGCCATTAACTGCTGCTGCTGATGTTGTTGTTTTTGCTGCTGCTCAAGCGTTTCATATGCTTGCCCAAATGAATGTTAATTAACAGCCTTCATTGACATTGACGACATTGAGAACGCAACATCAAATTTTACAGCATTCCGATTATATTGGGCCTTTATTGATTTTGACAATATGAACACAGTATGTGTCAATGAGTGTGTGTGTTTCACTCAGCCCTTGTTTTTTTTTCTTTTTTTTTTGTTATATATTTAACGTTTCAATCGTGCAGTGAGAACTTGACGCAACAGTTTAAAGCACTTTTCTTGGCAAGGTGACAAAAAGTGTGTGTGTGTGCCTGTGAGTGTCCCGTTAGTTTCGCAGCCGGCAAAGTTTACGGCAGGGTGTTCCAATTCTTATTTTCAGCCTATCATATGCAATACTAAATTTAGCTACACACACACACACATAGATATATACAAAGCACGCAGCATCACTGAAAGGCTTATCCACAAAAACGGGAAAAAAAAAAATCAAAACCGGAAATAAACTTACAGAAATTCCTCATTGCCGTTGCTTTTGCTGTTGTTGTTGCTGCTGCTGACTTGTTTATGAATTCTGTGCATCTGCATCGCTGTTAAAGTCAACACACTGCCTCAAGTTTGCTTGCCGAATTTAATGCGTTTATTTTTTGTATTTTAGCGTGGGTGGTTCAATGGCTATTTTTAGCACACGGAGAGCGCACCAACAACCAACAACCCAATCGACGTGCGAAACGAGCTAACTGAAATGCTTCCGCTTCTTGTTATTGTTTTAAAGAGCGAGCAGCTGCACACTTATCGACAGCGATCGGATTCCAGCAGCTACAAGCAGCAGAACGGCTTTAACTGGCTACCACAACAAATGCGAATGCATTCAGCGACGTATTGTGTATTAATTTCACTTTGCACTTTATCACACACAACTAAATATTTATTATTATTATTATTATGCGCTGCGTTGTGGTCGTGTCATTTTCACAGCAAACTAAACTTTGTCGCTTAACAGCACTGTTCGCGCGTACGCTTACAGCACTGCCTCTATCGATTGGTCCCCGTCAACGATAGCCTATCGATACTCGACAGGGCTGCGTGCACAACACGCGCTAAGACAACACAAAAAAGGTAAACACGAAATGGCTGTCGATTTGGGTTTTGCTGAACAAGTGGATAATACGGCCTGGCTAAGCAATCGCTACTTTCCCAGCAAACTGGGTGGACGGCCCGCCTGGCTTGAGTTGGATGCGCTGCCAGCGACAGCTCAGCTGCAGTGCCAGCAATGCCAAGCGCCACAGGCATTCCTCTGTCAGCTTTATGCGCCAAAGGAGGACGAATTTAATTTCCATCGCAGCATTTATGTGTTCCTTTGTCGCAATCCCGACTGCCAGCAGCCCAACAAGGCGCAGTAAGTAGCCTAAGTGAGGGCATAGTCTAGTAACTTTCGATTAGCCATACACATCAGATTCTTTATAGACTATATAGATTTATGGAGTGTACTAAATATTTTTTATTCTTACAGCAATTTTAAAGTGTTGCGTTCACAGCTGCCGCTGAAAAACAGATTCTACTCGGATCAGAGCCCATCGGAAGAAGGCGAGCCCTTGGTATAAAGAGATTACATTGCTAGCCCTCATTTCAAGTAACTTTTAACGCATTTATCTTGCAGCCTGCCATCGACAGCCTGAAGAAATTGTGTGCCGCCTGCGGCTGTTTGGGACCGCACACCTGTAGTCGCTGCAAGTCCATCAATTACTGTTCCTCCACTCATCAGCGAGCCCACTGGCCCCTGCACAAACCCAATTGTGGCATTGACAAGGCAGCCGCTGCTAACAAAGCACTACCCCAGCTGCAATTTCCCGAATATGAAATCGTGGAGAGCGATCCAACGAGTGAACCAAGTGCTGTAGCGGATAAGGACGAAGCGACTTGCTTAGCAGAATTCGAGCAATTGTCGGCCAATGGCAAAGCTGGCGAACTGAGCGATGTTCCCGAAAGGGAGCTAGATAAATACTTTGGCAGCTCGGCTGCCGCAGAGGATAAATCCTTTGAGCACTTCAAGCAGCTGACTGCCGCTCATCCGGAGCAAGTAGTACGCTACAGAAGCGGAGCAGGCGCACCGCTATGGATAGCTAATGTCGAGAACACGATTGCCAGCCAGTTGGCCGCTGTGCCCAATTGCAGTCATTGTGGCAGTGTGCGTCAATTTGAGTTCCAAATAATGCCACAGATGTTGACACTGCTCAACGACGAACGCTTGGATTGGGGCATCTTGGCGGTGTACACATGTGCGCGCAGTTGTCCAATTGATGGTTATGTGGAGGAACATATCATCAAACAGGACATTGTTGCGTAACCATCTCAAATGTAATATATTATTATAAATAATAAAGTACATTATAAGGTGTGGAAATCTTTGACCAAATTTTTATCTAAATCAATTTAATTATTTTCAGCTCAGAAGAATATCGAATATTCATCATTGTGAGTTAGTTTTTTAATTATTTAAACTGAGTATCAACTTTGGTTCGAAATTTTGAACAAAATGGAATTCCACATAATTTAGATCCAGATTTAACCATTTCCAGTTGAAAATCTTTTCTAAATTACTATTTCTGTATCGTTATTCCCAATTTAAAGTAAAACTTTTAGCTATATTTTTGATTAAGTACAAAGTCAGCAAAAGATCATTAATTGTATGTTTTTGGAACAACAAATTTTCACACATAAGTTAACCAATTTTATTTGCAATTGCCGAAACAAATTAGATAAAGAATATATATATATATATAGAGACAAGCTACGACAAGGATTGGGGTTGATCTCAGCATAAAAGGGGTCATTTAATTTTGATAATGGGAAAATAGCTATGCTTGGAGAAATCAAATTCTGGCTGACGTTTCACCTCCTTCTGATGGCCACGCCCAAGCACATTCATCACCACGAAATTGGTGCGCGCAATCTGCAACAGGTCCAGTATCTAAAAAAGAAAACAAGAACACTCTTCTTTGATTAGCCACAGAGTGAAGATGTGGAATAATGATTGACCGACTGACCTCCTGTTCAGGATTCTGTATGCTCTCGAGGACATTGCGTGCCTGATCGAAATACTTGGCCGCATAACTGTACAGATCCTCGGCGCTGTTCTGCATCATGTGATCGCGTATGTTCCGGAATTCGGCATAGGACACCGGTGGAGGGCTGGTCAGTGGCACAAATGGCGAGAAGCGTCGATTGTAGCGAATTTCCTCGTTATCAAACTTGGACATGGGCAGACGCACGCGTCCATCTTTGGTTAAGGCGCCCATCGCCTTATACATGCCACCGCACAGGCTGAGCAGGGCGCGATAGTAGACGATCTCTTGGCGATACGGACGCTGTTGTTTCTTATTCTTCTTCGGCTTGGCGGCCTTGCGATTCTTGCTACCAGAGCCGCCTCCGCCGCTGTTCGACTGAATCCTGCTCTGATGCTCGGCATACTCCTCCTGGGCCAACAATAGATTCTCTGTGCGCGTTAACGCCGACACCAGAAATCCGACAAGGAACTCATAGGGATACCAATAGATATAGAGGAACTCGTGGACAGCATACAGTTCCAGCTCGAAACCGGACATCAGATAGATGAGCATGGCGCGGAAGCAATTGTACAGCACCCAGGTGGAGAAGTACGTGCTGTGCTTCAGCGCCGTCGCATGCGACTCGTTTCCTTCCATGGCACGCTCATTGGCCAGCTGATTCATCAGCGAGTCGAGACGAGCCGCATCCACTTGGAGCGGATCAAAGTTTTCAATAAGATGCGCCAGCTTGTCGCGCTGCCGGGCACGATTGAATCCGCACAAGCGTATAAACTGATTGAACGTATTCATATTGATGCAATAGCGAAAGAACGTTTCCAGATGCTGCACAACCTTCGGATCACTCGACACCGGATGTTTGGGATTTAGCACCGGTGGCGAATTGAAAACCATCACCGAATGACGCAAAAACTGTTTCATCGATTGTTTGCCATGCGCGAGGCGAATGCTCGAGCTGAAGAGACTTTGCAGCACGCTGCGGGAGAGGATGCAATGTCCGGACTTGCGACTATATTCGATGAAGAAGTTCTGCAATCGGAAATACAATTAATGTCGCTCGTTCCTCCTTCTTCTCCTCGTGTTACCCACCAGCGCCGAGTAGTAATCCTTGTAGCGTATCACCTTGCAAGCGTACTTGAAACGAGCCACCATCTCCTCTAAAAATTGATAGCTGGCGGGTCGCTCGCGGATCTTAATGCTGCGCGGAAATGTGGGTGGTTGACTTCGGTCATGAATGCGCGGCGAGAAGCCCATGGGATTGGGTGCCTCAGCTGCAATAAATTAAGCACAAAAATTGAGTAACTAATACGTTGATATCTAAATCAAACCCTATGGGCTACTTACAACCCTCGACAGGCTGTGTGCCCCGATCAATGGTGCGTTTGATTAGCGGTAACAGCTCGGAGGCCACATTGAGATTCTTGTATATCTCATTGACCGCCTCCTCGGCGCTCGAGGCGCCCACCATGAGCTCCACTTGGTAAATGGCCTGAAAGAGGTGGCGCATGAAGCGCAATCTGTGGACGACAGCCATCAGACATTGATTCTCCGCTGCTTCTGGCAACTGTTTGCACTTGCGCACCAGCTCATCCTCCACATCCTTCAAGAGACCAGCTATGGTTGAGGGCTGTGCCTTCTCCGCACCCAATAACGCCGAATTGCCATACAATTGAAAATCCTCCTCCTCGTTGACTGCCGCCAAGATGATGATGTTCTTAATTACCACAATGAGATTGCGCACAGCGATGCAAAAGCAGCGCAGCGGCTTGTCCTGAATCTGTGAGGGTGCATGCAAATAGAGGCAGGTGAATAGCACTTGATCCATTGAGTTGCCCTCCAGCCACGACACCAGGCAGGCAAACAGAGCATCAAAGATGCCAATCAGTTCCGCTGGCTCCAGTCCGTCCAGCTTAATGGCGCCCATCTGAAAAGCAAGTCATAGGTGTTATGGAGCTAAGGCTTTTCTCTAAATAGTTACTTGGCTGTTTACTTACCGCAACGGCCGCCTCAAAGGATGGCGGCGGCAAATCGAACTTATCAAAGCCCATGCCCACATCCATTTTCGGATCCATTATTTCAATGGCTGACATGGCCTCGAACAGGCCAAAGAGCATATCCTGGGCAAGTTCGCCGGGCAGCAGCTCGGCGCAGGCATCGTGAAACTCCTGTGTGACATCCACCCAGCCATGTATTGGATATTGTGTAATATCCTCGGCAGCGCTGCCGCCTCGTATCGCTCGCTGCACATCATTATCAGCAAATCCACATTCGCTCAAACTCCACTCATCGGGTTCATTGCTATTCGATTCCCTTTCCCTCTCCATTTCCCTCTGCTCAGCTGTTGTTCGCATCGCTGAGGCTGAAGCGGCCGCTGCTGCTGCGGCTGCTACTGCTGCCGCCGCTGCTGCAGCTGTGGCTGCCTGAAAATCTGTTGGCTGTTCGCCTACGTATGTTCCGTGCATTATGCCTTACTGCACAGCTACTTTTCAATTATTATTTTCATTCAGTTATACGCGATTTTATTTTTAACGTTTTCACGTTTGCCGTGCATCTAAAATTTGAACCAGTGCTAATCAATACTGCAAAGTCTGCATGGCAATTGCAGAGCGCATTTGCCAACACTGTGATTCAATGGCGCCAAAAACGTTACAAATTCAATTCACAGCTGAGACGACAAAAACAAATAAGAAAATCTGTTAAAAAGCATGCTACATAAAAAAATTTGTTCTTCAAGTGTTTTGTTATCTGTGAAATCGTTTTTTGTTCTGGTTAACATTCAAGTTGAACCTGAAGTTTAGCAGTTGCATCAGTTTTTTATTTGTTCAGTTTTTTTTGCAATCATAAATTGGTAAGCACATTTGATATAATTCTGTCATCAGTACGTTGAAAGTTTGCCGTGTATTCATTAAGTAAAGTAAATGAATGAATTGTAAATGCAGCATTTTTATAACAGGCACAAGTGTCGTTGTTATGTTTATGCTGACCATATAAAATGAGCTATTTGGTAATTTAGGTGGCAAATTTCGTCTCTTGGTAAATGATAAGAATTAAGTAGTATCGCACCATGTCTACTTGATGTTTGTTTAACAAGCTCTTTCGTAATAAAGTGTATATTTGCTTACGTGCCAGCAAACATAGCCGGTTCTATTTCTTTGAAAATGCACTCAAGCAATTTCTTATCAACGGCCCTCAGCTATTATCGGTCGCGCTCCGCTTTCGAGTGAAAAGTTAAAAGCTCGCTCAGCTTTTAGCACTTTTTTGCTCTCCGCGTCACATCGCATCGCATCGCAACGCAACATTTTCTGAGCCCGCGCCCTGTGATGTTTCTATCGCACTTTTGGGGTTGTCCGTGTCGCCAGTTTGAGTGTGTTTCAAATGCCCAAATAACGGCAAATTGAGTGGGGCGCACAACACTTCACCAATGCGAGGGGTTGAATTAGTTTGTTTACAACAATTCGGTTTCAGTATCAAATGCGTTGCCCTCGTGGTTAATACGTGCCAACGGTCAACCGCTAAAATAAGCACTAATATAACATTTAAAAAAAAAAACAACAACAGGGCGCACAAATTTAAACCAATTGCCAAAAACACGACACGAGCCAACAAAAAAAAAAAATACAAGAAATACAAAATACGAGAACTACAACAACTATAACAACAGGAATTTGTTGCGGAAGGAGGCGACCATTTATTAGCCAATTTCAGCGCGTAAGTTTACCCCCCCCCCCCCACATTTGATTTTTTGTTTAATTTATGCATCTGGCTCATAAGGGAAATGCTCTGATTTTTTTCAAATTTATTGCCATACATATGTACATGTGTTTTTCGCTTGTGGCGCCTTGACAGTTTGTTAGATTTGCCGCCAAGTTCTGTTCAAAATAAGACACATATAAAAAGCAAACAAAAATACCCTGCTAAGTTACTATATGGTCGAGAACTTGATTAAATGCGGCAAAAATATAAACACAAACACAATGGCAGCCCCCAAAAATTACGAGACTTTTTGGCAAGCGACCAAATCAAATTATAAAAAGAATAAAAATTGTCTGACCCGCCGGACGTCTACAGCAAAAGCAAAATTCACTTACAAATTTTTTAGACATTCAATAAATATGTTTTAAATGTTTTAAATATTTTCATAGTTTTATAGTATGCAAAAAAAAAAAACAAGCAAAACAATGTCTGAAGCAAAGAAGAAAGGATTTTTTTTTTGTTTACAAATAAATATTGCAAATATAAATATATATTAATCATCATGCACTTAAATCAGTCAATTACATTAAATCGTTGAAAAAATGAAGTTCGGTAAATTAAAAGCTATTGTTGAACAAACAACTAAACGAGAAAATACAAATCCATTTATGAAGTGGAACAAATTTTGCGAGTGTCAGCAGAGACGGGAAGCAAGTTCATAGTCTGCAACTTAAATTGTGTATTTTTAAATGTTTAATTTAAAAATGCTTTCAATAAATAATCTAAAGCTGATTGTGTGGTTATCAGGCTGGGTAAACAGTTGTTCATATAATAACCAATGTCAGTTTTACGACTATTCTATACAGTCTATACTATTGATAAGAAAATGTTATCATAAAATTGGGTAAAGTCGTCTGAAGTTTTTCAGACATATGGAAAATATTGCGAATCTTATCAGCATTAAATGCAAGGACAGTTCACACTTTGCAATCGACACAATGACATTTACTTTAATTTTTGAATTGAAGTGGAAATTAAATGGCAAATAGTGGGAAACGTGATGTGGGGGGAAGCTGCGGTGAGAAGCTCGTGACAATTGACCAAATTAAACAAGTTGAGCACGCAAACATTCGATTAGAGTCCCAGGACAGCACACACAGACACACAAGCACACACACAAGCACACACACACACACACACATACACACAGTATATACAACTACAAAATGCGACAAATGTGCAAACCACACAGACGTGGTAATAAAATCCGCACGTACGCTGTAAAAGCCATGAAAATCAAAGTCCTTCAGACCGAACACAAAGGGCAACAAAAAAAAAATATATATGTGTATATATGTGTCTGCAAATCAGAGCAAAAACATACAAGCACGCACACACAAATAACCACACACGCTCGGAATTTATTTCAATTGATTTGAGCCAGCAAAAAAAAGGGGGCCAAAGAAGAAATTCCAGTTGCTAAAGAGATATATTCAAGTCCAGGTCCAGTTGACCAGCCTTAACATTGACTGGTATTCAAGTTGCGTATACGCCCCCCAACCTCAATCCCTACCAGTTTTTTGAGCTCGGCTGTCTTTCTCTCTCTCTCTTGCTTCGTCTCTGAATCGCTCCCTGTTCCTTTCTCTTTTTTTTTTTTGTATCGATTTGATTGGATTTCATGTTACGAGTTTGTTGTGTTTTACACGCTTCAATAAAGTTGGTCGGCACAAAAACAAAGTTGAAATGCTGGAGCTTAATCCGAATCCCAGTTTGCTTATTGCCTGTCTCCCTATACGATTCTCCCACGTAATTGAATTCAAATAAATGACAGATGAGGAGGGCAGTCTCTGTGTGTGTGTGTGTGTGTGCTTGAAGGTTGGGTGTGTGTCAAATAAAATGCAGTCATGACAATTCCAAACTGTAATTGGCTTCCGGGACCAAAGGACAAAGCTGTAATTGGATGAACTCTTTTCTCTCTTTATCCATATATAAACTTAAGAGACACCAACTCATGTTTCATATTAAAGAACAGAAAAACTTACTTAAATACTTTTTAGAAGTCAGGGGAGTTAAAGTATGTATTCATAACTAGTTCGATTTTGACCATTTGACCACTTAATTGGTCTCAAGTTACAGACATTTTTACTAAGGCAAGTTTCGGTTACAAAGGTTCGACAGTACTAAAACATTTTTAAATATGATCGTATTAAATACAATTATTACTAAAGAAAAAAGAAAGCTGAACTTAAAGAGATTTGATTGAACCAAAACATATTTAAATATTATCTTATTATATAAGATTCTTACTAAGGAATGACTTAATAACTCAATGAAGTATTTTCGAAATTCATGGGAAATTTCAGAGATGGGTAGTGAATCACAGATGAAAACCTGTAATCTTCACTTGAGTTTATTAAAGTACAAACTTTAAGCCAGTTATGAACATATGTTGAACTTTCTCAAATTCATGAAAATCGCCTAAGGGCACTGAATTTACATATTTTTAAATATTATCGCATTATTTACAATTAAAGAAAATCAAATCTAAATTTTTAAGCCTCACTAGAGTTGTAAGTAAGTAAGTAAGTGCAAATTTTATGAAGTAATATCTTATATTACAAAATTAATGAACATCTGTTGGACCTTCTAAAATTTCTGAATATAACAGAAAAATGCAGCAAAATGAGTTGGACATTTTTAAATTTATGAAGCATAAAGATCATGAACATCTGTTAGACCTTCATAAATTAAGGAAAATTGCGAATAAAGGCTGCGAGGCTATTTAAAGCACAATTCCAGTTTCAATGTGCATTTCGAGCGCTGCAAATTAATGAAAATGACGGGCGAAACTTGGTTTGAAAGGAACTCCGAGGCTTTTGCGAATAAATGGCTGTTTGCTCTGTGGCCTGTGAAATATGCACACAGTCGGCAAAATGGCAGCAGAATGCTTAAAATCATTTATCATGCAATTAAATAAATGAGTCTGCATATAAAAGTCTGAATAAGTTTTGTAGGCGATACAAATGGATTCAGTTCCTCGGATTTATTATGGGTCTGCTTTCTGCCTTTTGCTGATTTGCAAATATGCATTGAGTCGGAACAATTAATACAAGTCCAATTAAATAACGGTATAATCCAATTGCTTAAGCGCCTTTTGGCACAAAAACCAATTAAGCTAAAATGTTTGCCAATTCAGAGGTACTTCAATGTGGCAACAATAAACAAAGGCAAGCATCAGTATTCAGCAGGACCTGATGGTCCTTGTCTGATGCCATCGTGATAGAAACATAACAATGACAATAAAAACACATCAAAATCAATCTGTCAACAAAAGACAAGCAGCAGCAGCTCATGTTGCCTGTCAACAGGACACCCCTCAGGAGGTACGGGGGGTCGTCGATGGGTCTGAAGAATCAGCTCCCCAGCGAGCATCAAGTTAACTCCCCTCCAGTTGAGTTGTTGAATTTTCAAGCATTTAAATGCAAAATATATACTTTGTAGCAAGTCGAGGACTTGCCAGCCAGCAGCCAGGAGTCTATTCAGTTGAATGCCATTATCATTAGTACACCGTCAGCAACAACAACAACAATAGTAACAACAAAAACAACAACAGCAACAGCAACAAATACTCAACAGCAGCTGCGCCAAAGGAAACGGCATGCCGGATTTCATTTTATTACAAGAGGAAAAGCAAACAGCAAAATGGCGCCAACAACACGGGCAGAATACTGCGAACAAATAACAACAAGTAAGCGGCTCATGCTGGGAGTAGTAGAACGTGGAGATACCCTGCATAAATATTATTGAAATTATACTGTACTCTGTACTATTTATATGTATATATATGCTGGGATTGGAGTACTAAACACACAAATATTGAATCATGTATTTCAAACAACAATGTGCATTCAGTCAGAGTAAACCTTGACAAATTGAAAAATTCCTAACTCAAAACGAAGCTAAAATCGATATTTATCGATAAGCTAACGACAAAGTACTTAAATCTGCACTAAAAGTTTCAGCTCTCTAGATTGACTTATTTAAGGAACTGAGATGTCTCAGTCATCAAGGCAGCTTGATGACAAACATTTCACAGGGTATTAAAAAGCAAGTCCCGAGGCAGCTTGTTGCTACTGCACTTCAGCCAAGCGGCAAAAAGAGAATTATCATCATGATGATGTTCCCGACAATGATGACGATGCTGCTCAGTGGTGTGCGCCAGTTGCCTGGCTGCCTGGCTGGCTTCCTGCCAACAATTTAGCTGCTGTCTGTTTGCTTTTGTGTGCCTGGGGGCGTGCAGGGTGGCGTATGCGTATTGTTGTCGGCTGTGGGCGCTCCTGCGGGGAGGGAGGAGATTGCATGCGGGTTTTGCTGGCAATATGCTGCCAGATTAGCTGGCGCTGAGTTGGCATCTGTGCAAAAACGACAACAGCCACAGCAACAATGGCTGACAGATTTTCAACTGGTGCAGCAACTGTCGCACGTATAGGGAATTATCCTTCATTTTTGCAGCATTCCATTTTAATTGAGCTTTAAGCTCTCTTACACAGCACATCCATTTCCATTTACCACTTCGCACAGCATGCACTTCTGCATGGTGTGATTTTTATGCATGTGCCGAGGCGTTAAAAATATTTCAAAGGAGTATATTGGAGTTGTGCAAAACTATTTAATAGGAAGCAAGATTCTGCGACCTCAGCAAGTATATATATATATATATATATATATTATATATATATATATATATATATTCTCGATCAAGAGAGTGAGATATAAAATTTGCAATAAAAGTTGTTTATTACCACAAGGCAGATAACCTGTCTGCTCAGTGTTATTAAGTTGTCTGCTCAGTGTTATAACCAAGCAAATAACTTGTCTGCTCAGTGTTATTACCAAGTGCATATCTTGTTTATTTTATTTAACCGATAGCTGCACCCACTTCCCAAATATCGATACATATCT